AAGTTGGCCTTTGACTTTATATAAATGTCTCTGCCGTAGCAGTTTAAAAATAATAATAATGCAGGTTATTATAAAACACCTTCCTATATAAATATGACCATGTTTTATTTATGTATATATTTTATCACGTATGAATCGCCTACACATTGAATATGTCAATTGCTCAATCTCTTTCCATAGGTGATTCTGCTGTGCCTCACTGCCTCTGTCAGCAGGGGTCAAACTTGATTCTGAGGACAGACGACTTGAAGTGAAACAAGGACGACGGAACAAAGCCAGTGCTGGAAACTGGTAAGAGAAGCGCCTGTGGCGGATTTCTCACAGCCCCCCTTTCCCTGAGACCCCCTGACACCACACCCTCACAAAACAAAAGTCAATCACCACACTTTGGTTCCAAGGGGGAGGGGCACACAATCTGGACAGAGGGTATACGACCAGTTTCATGGTGAGACTTTGAGAAGGGAGTGTGACTTAGAAGGGGGAGGGGAAACAGCTGTCAGATCTTTGACTTTGGGAATAGAAAGTCCTCGTCTAGATACTTTCATCCACTGACTGTGTGACTCATATACCACTCCTTTGACACATTTTGCCCTAAAGCACATGACACCATTATAGTGACTAGACATTGGCAACCTCCAGTGCGATTTCTTAAATTTATTTTATACTGGTATAGTACATTTAAGCACACACTGTATTTGATATCTTAATCTTATCTCTACCAGACTGGAGTGACGGGCGGTGACATCACTGATGGCAACACACGTTGACTGTAACACAAGAATAGGACTGGAGGTAAACATGAAGGAGTCATCCCTGTGTGATGTCACAAGGACAGAGCGCGAAGGAAAGCATGCCTCTCCGCATTCCTCCAAGACTTCACACCACCAGATCACCAATGGAAAGAGCAAGCTATCCTCTGACCCCAGTGCAACAGACAGTGATGTAAGCGAGGGCAGAGATGGGGGTGTTAGTTTCAGCACCAACCATAACTCTGTGGTGTGCCTGCCTTTGGTCTCTGAGGGACTGAAGCTAGTATGGACACAGTCAGATCAGACACGTGAGCTTGACACCATCTCAGAGCTGGTCCAGGCATTCAATGTGTTCCCATACCCAACATCTCGTGAGGTGAATGCCTTGGCACGGCTCTGTGCCCTGCCTCTGGACAAAGTCAAGGTCTGGTTCATGGTGCAGAGAATCAAATACGGCATCAGCTGGGCCTCAGAGGAGATTGAGGAGACGCGTCGCAAGCTGGCCGGACCTGAGCGGACTAACGACAATGCAAATGAGAAGGAGATAAAAATGAGGAATACGAGGAATGGGTGTGGGGACAATATCTGTGGAGGCAGAGGATGATGATCCAATGAATAATGGTCTTCACTCCTCCCTGCTTCACCCAAGAAAACGAGCCAGACGTGAGAGCCCAGAACCCTGCAAACCAGCCGCCACCGTCCAACATTTCAGTTCCTCTCTCCCACCCCCTCAGGATTCATACTACTACCGCCCTCCTGTGGACATGCCAGCAACTACCGCAACTGATGCTTCCTTGAGCCTCTCTGAGACCTCACTTGGCTCTCCACAGCAACGCGGACGCTACAAAAAGACCAAAGCCCAACTTGCAGTCCTTCGCAGCAGCTTCCTGCGGGAAAACTGGCCCGCAGAGACGGAGCTCCGACGCCTGCAGGAGGAAACCGGCCTGAGCCGCAATGACATCCGCAAGTGGTTCAGCGACAGCCGGTACCAGCTTAGAAATGGGCGTGGACTCCTTGGAACATCCATGGTCTATCCTCAGTTGACCACAGGAGACTCAAAGAACGAGTCTCAGCAACTTCGACCTCTTCCACTCGTAGCTCACAGGCCTCGGGATCAAGAAAATGGTGTTGAAGTGCAGGGAGGGGCTCAAGGGAAGGGAGCTCGCAGCAACGGGGTGAAAGATTCACACTTCTTCCAGAACTTCCTGTCAAACAGCCTGGAGGCCTTTGGGGAGGGAGCAGTGGGAGTGGAGGCGGAGGAGGACGAGGTTGCGGAGGAAGCCTCTGTTCACACTGAGACTGTTAAGGAAGAGAACGAGGCGGTGGTGAAACATGAAGAAAAGCCCCTACACTTGATTAGGGGCAGTAAGGACCCAGAGATTAAACAACCACCATCAGCCGTTACCATCTCTGCTTCCTCCTCCCCCTCGCATTCTACCACCCCTCCACCTTCGACTGCTAATAAGCGTAGTTCTACTAGCACCAGCACGGTGCAGAGGTCTGCTCGCTCAGCCAAAGCCTCACTGACAGCCCTGTCTCTCTCCAGTCCTCCCTCATCCTCGTCTCCTCTTCTTACACCCGCTGGCCGACCACGGAAGACCAAGGAACAACTGGACATACTAAAGGAGCACTTCTTGCGGTGCCAGTGGCCTAAGAGTGAGGACTACACCCAGCTGGTAGAGCTCACAGGCTTGCCACGTGCAGACGTCAGCCAGTGGTTTGGGGATACGCGCTATGCTGTTAAAAATGGTCAGCTACGCTGGGTGCAGGGGGTACGTGAGCAATTCCGTGAGCAATTCCTGGCTGAACTAGCCACACAGCAAAATGGCAGTGGTGGAAACGGTTCCAGTGGGACCACTCGGGTTACGGGTAGCCGCAAACGAAAGTCTCAAGTGAATGGCGCAACAGCACCAACGTCCACTGCAGATTCCCCGGACATCAATCCGCTGGAGGTTTACCATCGCTTGACAGGGGTTCTTCATGAGAAAGACCTTGATGCCCTTTGCAAAAAGTCACGAATGAGCTACCAGAAGGTGCGGGACTGGTTTGCATCTCAGGAGAGCAAGGTAATTGACCCAGAGCCCAATGTTACTGATTGAGATGAGGAACTTGTGGGCTGGTAAGGGTTGTACATTAGCAGTATGTCTTTCTCTTTTACAGAGGACAAGGCTGATCATGTCTTACCCAGAATTTCTCATCAATTTGACAAACTTTTCATATTGAATTACTTTGCTTTAATGTGAGCAGGTGTGACTCTTAAATGCTTAGTCTTCCTAGTATCAGCACAGATTTTGCGACTGTGCTGAATTATTGCTGCATTCTGTCTTTAAAAAAAAAATATGTTTGGACTTTAAATCCTGATGGTGCTGCCTACTGTAGACAGGGCAGTACCTATTACACTGGTTCAATCCCCCCCCCCCCCCCCCCCCTGTTTCCTTGTTTTGTTTGTGTTATATAATTTGTAGTCCAGTATTGTAGCAACATATTATTAACTGGATAAAAAGTATGTATTGGTTGGAGCTCCTTAGGTACTGTAGTGTAGTTCTGTATTTTTCAGAAGTGAAACTGCACTGGGAAAACATTTATGAATCTTAGGGTAAAGACACTGATTAATCACTTAAAGTAGTACTCTTTCCTTTACAACCTCCAATTCCTTTTCACGAGAAGCAAACTGGCCATTCACTTGTAATCCTTCTGAATAGACATGTTGCACTTGCATTTTTGAGCACTGACATTTTAGCTGTGATAATGTTCATTAAATGCATTCCTTTTCAGAAAAATTGAATTCCTATTAAAATTATGTTATGCAGTTTGAACTGACCTGCAATGTTTTAAAGTGAAGTTCAATGGCCACGAAGACCAAGTTCAAACCATATTTTGGATAAACTGAAGTACTCTCTTTGGTCCTGTATATAATGCTCACATCTCTCAATTTATTCTGTTTAGCTGTGAAGGGCTGCAATGTAGGCTTATTTTATCTTTGAGTTTTCCGTTTATTTCACCTAGGCCATGCCCCAGATTGGTGGGGACCGTATTCTTCCTATAGCAAGCATTTGTGTGAGGGGATGGTTAGGGTGACAGAAGTCACTGGAATTGTGTAATCAAACCAAATTCAGTTCAGCAGAGAAGGGACTGAGGCATAGAAGTAATAGATTCTTAGTCCACTTTAATCCAAAGCAATAAGTAGTGTTTCGTGCAGGCCATTTTCTATGCCTTCCGAGAGGAAAACAACACGTATTAAATTAATCCAGGTATACCAGTAAAAGTATTTAAGCAACATTTTCTACAGTGTAATTTTTTTTTTCTATTAGCTATGATAACATTACAAAGGAAGTACAAGAATACTGTAGAGGCCTGAAGGAGAAATGTTTGTCTTAACACTATTCTCAGTTGCAGATCCCTTTAATTGCAGTTGTAAACAGTTTTTCAATTTTCTACTTAACTGGACACATGGCACTCATTTCATAAATTAAAGAGATTCTCCGGTACTTTTGTATACTTTTTATCTAGGAGTTGCGAAAGTAGCACTCACAAGCCAAAAGTGGTCCCTGAAAATTGCGTACTACATCACATATGTGCAGATATGTGCACCACCTCATTGCGCTCTCTGCTTTGTCCACTGAGTCGTTGGGCCCGCCTTGCAACCTCATTGGATAATGCTGGGCAGGCCTCTTGCTAGCTTCCACTCAATGCAAGGGCTAGAACTCAAATTGCTAAGGGGCTGGCCCATGTGGGGTGAAATGTAGGGAAAATGGCACTGCACAGCTTCAAGAAAAGCATCTCTTTCAAACTAGGGATTTCGTGGCTAATTGAGTTAAAGACCGTAATTCTGCTCATAGATTATGCATGTGTGAACTACACTTTTGACACATCAGCCCAAAGTGGGAGGTTTACATTTGTTTAAAAAAAAAATACTTTAGTTGCCAATGTACCGGAGCATGTCTTTAATGTTGTATTATATGTTCAATTTAACATTTGCACAACTGCATCACTGGAAACTAGTAAAAACAAAACAAAAACGTTGCGTGTGTATCCCATTGTTTTCTTGTTTGTGTTAACTGCTTCCCCACACTTTCTGAGATCTGGGTCAGCTGTTCATCTCAGATTCTGCAGAAAAAATGGGGTCTTTGCCATTTAATCTCCAGTCACTTTAGGAGCTACTTAATTTAAAACCTACATTCAACTGGATCTCAATTTTGTCACTGGAATTAAGTCAGTGTGAGACATAGCATGAAAAAGTAACCTACCGGTTTACTGGCCATTTCTGAAAGTCCTTGGCGAGTGCAGTGATGACCCAGTCAAGAACTGGAAAATGTTAGGAGTCAGATTCTCAGACCTGAGATTTGGAGAGAGAGGTCTGCTCATTTAGCTTTGGGCCTCTTTACACTAAACTACTTTGACGACACATATTAGTCCCAGGAACGATACCTTTGTAGTGTTAAGAGACAGATCTAGATTCAGATCTCTGTTTGGTTGGCTCAACTCCTCTGTCCTCTAGTAAACAATAAATTTAGCTAGGCATATTTATAGATAAAAGGATAAGTAGCATATCGTTTTCAAATGCTTTTTTTCAGAGTAAACGTCAGCTGATTCAAAGGGGGTGTGGTGAATCTCAACTTTTCCGCCAAGGATTCAGGTAGGGTATTCGTGCTTCCTAGATCTGAGGAGGCGAGGACACTCCTCCATTCGCTTACTAATTATACTGAACAAAAATATAAATGCAACATGCAACAATTTCAAATATTTTACTGAGTTACAGTTCATATAAGGAAATCAGTCAATTTAAATAAATCAGGCCCTAATCTATGGTTTTCACATGACTGGGAATACTGATAAGCATCTGTTGGTCACAGATCACTTTTTTTTTAAAGTAGGGGCGCGGATCAGAAAACCAGTCAGTATCTAGTGTGACCACCATTTGCCTCATACAGCGCGACATCTCCTGTGCATAGAGTTGATAAGGCTGTTGATTGGGCCCTTTTGAATTTTCTCCCACTCTTCAATAGCCGTGCGAAGTTGCTGAAACTGGAACACGCTGTCGTATGCGTCGATCCAGAGCATCCCAAACATGCTCAATGGGTGACATGTCTAGTGAGTATGCAGGCCATGGAAGAACTGGGACATTTTCAGCACCCAGGAATTGTGTACATATCCTTGCAACATGGGGCAGTGCATTATCATGCTGAAACATGAGGTGATGGCGGCAGATGAATGGCACGACAATGGGCCTCAGGATCTTGTCACGGTACAGTTGAAACTGGGATTAATCCGCAAAGAGCACATTTCTCCAGCGTGCCAGTGTCCATCGAAGGTGAGCATTTGCCCACTGAAGTCGGTTTCGACGCCGAACTGCAGTCAGGTCGAGACCCTGGTGAGGACGACGAGCACGCAGATGAGCTTCCCGAGACGTTTCTGACAGTTTGTGCAGAAGCTCTTCTGTTGCGCAAACCCACAGTTTCATCAGCTGCCCGGGTGGCTGGTCTCAGACGATCACGCAGGTGAAGAAGCCGGATATGGAGGTCCTGGGCTGGCGTAGTTACACGTGGTCTGCGGTTGTGATGCTGGTTGGACGTACTGCCAAATTCTCTAAAACGACAACGGAGGCGGCTTATGGTAGAGAAATTACCATTCAATTCTCTGGCACCAGCTCTGGTGGACATTCCTGCAGTCAGCATGGCAATGGCACGCTCCATCAACTTCAGACATCTGTGGCATTGTGTGACAAAACTGCATATTTTAGAATGGCCTTTTTTTGTTCCCGGCACTGTGTAATGATCATGCTGTTTAATCAGCTTCTTGATATGCCACACCTGTCCGGTGGATGGATTATCTTGGCAAAGTAGAAATGCTCATTAACAGGGATGTAAACAAATTTGTGCACAACATTTGAGAGAAATAAGCTTTTTGCAGCTCAGGAAACATGGGACCAACACTTTTTACATGTTGATTTTATATTTTTGTTCAGTGTAATTGACACTCAACCAATTATCAGTTTCCGGGTCATGGAGGAGCGAGGACGGAGGATCGAGGAGAGGACTGTCTGTCCAAATGGGAATCTCCCACTCTACATGTCCCTGCAAGAATTACCTTAATACCAGTAGACAGCATTTTTCCTCTTAACCAAATTGAAAATTAAAGGCTTAAAAAATTAACACATTTGTGATTCATTGCATTAACCAAGAGTGCAACATACTGGTTTAGATGAGAAGCTCCTGTATAGTTTGATGTGAGTTCCTTATTGTTTTTCTATATACTATGGTATTTACGGTATGCTAATAGGTGCACACACATGCATGAAGCAGGAAATCTGATGTTGAAGAGAGATCTTAATACACATTTTACTAATGTAAATCTACCCTTTCCACTACTTTCAATGATGCACCATGGAAATCAACTGATATTCATCAATTCTTACCGGGTGGGAGTGCTAATAATGGTGGGAGTCCCTATGACAGGAGAGAAAAAAAAAAAAACATTTCAGTTTGATGTTCAAAGTGATTTACAGAAAAATAGTTGTGTTGCTTGAATGAACTACCATGGTATGCTAAGACAATTCTATGCCAATCTTTTACCATCTGTTTGTGGATTGTTGATATATTTGTGACGTCTTTCAAAAATGTTTGGCATGAAAATACGCCAATCATTTTTTTCATTAGATCAAGTGAATCTGTTGTGTGCCACTCACTGAAGCCACCACGCTCGTGCAGAGAGCTCAGGCTGGAGATTGATGTGGCAGAACCAGGCGGAGTCTGAGAGCGGGAGCAGGAGAGAAACAGAGACCATAAGAAAATACACTTACTGGAGGAAAGAGTTACTCAGTCTGCTACAGTTAAGACAGAGAAGGGATATGAAACATGCTATAGCAAAGAAGGAACGCAAACTCACTGCGAGGGTGAGCCTAGGGTTTCTATCTCTGAACCTCTCCTGGGTTTCAGCAAAGCCTTGGTGGCTGAAATACAATTATTGACAGGTGAAAATATCTCTGAATTGAATACATTTAGACAATATAGGACATTGTGTTTGAAAGACTGTTGTGAAAGACAGTCAGTATGATGTGTGTACGCATACATGCCTGTCTGTGCAACCACATTCATATATCTCCTACCTAACAGGACGTGAGCGAGGGGTGACTGTAAGGACAGATAAGGAAAGTTACACACCATTGCTCATCTGAGGTTTAAAATGGAATGGAATTTCTCCTATTGCGGATACATTTAAATGGTATTGTCATGTTAATAAATAAAAAATGCACCAATTTGTAAGTCGCTCTGGATAAGAGCGTCTGCTAAATGACGAAAATGTAAATGTAAATGTTAAGATCTCTGAAATGCCTCTGACCACAACCCATCAGCGTTCATCTTTACCTGGGGAGGTAACAGCCACTGGGAGAGACATCCTTTGGGCACTGCTACGGAAACATCAGTTGTCAGTAAACACTTTCAGCTTATGAGATAAGGACAGCATATTGAAAATATTTTTCTCAGATGTGATAAATAGTAGAGACTTATACCCATTTGTTTGAAAGTGTCCAGGTGATGCCTGTGAAAAGAGAGGAAAGTCTAAAATGACTATTGTGACAGCAATAGCGTACTTGATTAATCAAATTCAAAAGACAGTTTTTGCCAATGCTCAAAGACATTCGGTGCTAGACACACTGAAAATCTTACCCTCCTCTGAGAGAGAGGTTTCTTCAACTCAGCATTCTCTCTTTTCAGCTCTAAAACTTGCCTGCATAAAGGTTATGTGAGAGAAAGAAATGTCACTGTAATAGATTGAAGTAAGACAGAAGAAGAAGAATAGTAACATACTATCAGTTGTTTTACTGAACCTGTAACACTGATCTGTGACATCCTTCAGTCTCCTCTCCAGCTCCATAGATTTGTTTTTAAAGTAGACAATGACCCTTTCCTTCTGCCTTCGCTGGAATAGAGTAATCTGACAGGCAGAGATATAATTGTACAAATAGGTGCTGAGCTAGTAGGCACGTAATAAACATTTGCGTGAAACTTTCACACTGCTTTTGCCCTTTTATATCAAATACACCTAACACAAAATGAAAAACAGAGTTGAACCTGTGCTATGTGCTCCAGACGAGACTGAATGAGCTTCACAGGGTCTTTGAAGAACACCTGCTCCTGAGGCTTCATCTGCCAATACAGGAAGAGTGAGGTAGGGAGAAGAAAATGTTATAAGTATACACTTGATTTAACAGGTAGGCTACATGTTGCTGTTGATGAATCAGTGACAGTCATTGAATTGAAATAATTAATAACACACCAACCTGATCTGAGATGGCCAGGTAATTGCAGCTGGCTCCACACACAGTGCATTGTTCTGAGGGAAAAGAAAGGGCAACATTTCGAGACAACAACACAACAGTATGAAATAGTAAGCACAGATCCGGGACCATAGGATGGGTGTGGGCGGGAGACAGGGAAATGAGAACTGTCATACTTTTACTAGGGTTGATACACCCTTCACAGCAGATGTGACCACAGCTGGAGACAGCAAAGTTCTGGCCCTCTCTTCGGAAGCAGCTGTTACAGTGGAACCAGTCCATCCCAATGCCTTGTTCTTGACTAGCTCTTGAATCTAGGCACAAAAGCGTGGAGAGCAAGGTTAGAATTCAGGATTCCATCATTATAATTAGTTATGTTCAAGCATTTTAACCCGGTTTATTGTCTCAAGTGTGCGTCTCAAGTGGACTTTTGTGTCGCTAGCAAATTAGCTAGATATGATCAATAACCGGTTTGAGCCATAGTGTGAGTCTGACTTTCCAGTAATGCTAGCTTGGCTAGATAGCAAACCAGCTAGCTAGCGTAAGGTTGTAAAGTGATGCAGGGAATAGAAAAACACGTCAGACACACTCAAATATGAAATATGATTTATTCCAATGTTGCAAAAAACGTTGTTGGCTACCTTAGTTTCGAAATGTAGGCCTTAGTTGACCATCGACGTGAAGATGAGGTGCTGAAAAGTCTGCTTATTTCTTTTTTTTTACTAGCTCCTAGTCCTGCACTGAAGCGTACCTGGTACGGTTGAATGTGCGCGCGACGTTGATTGGCCGAGTCCTCCATAGCGCGCTAAATTAGTAGGTGTATGGTTGGTTGCCCCAATTTCTTCCCTTCACCTAATACGGTAACGGTGCGGAGAGAATTTCCAGTGCATAAAATGTCCTGGTCTCCTGCTAAGATATGTCTATGATGATAACTATATGGTTTATAAAATATTAAAGGTGTATTCCATTGTCAATATTGTATGACAAGGCAGCAAAAACAGGTGCGCAACAGGTGCACTTGTCACAACATTATCAATACCCTGGACATTGTTTGCTCAATTTCACCTCGGATTTCCAAAATATCCAAGCCTAAGCAGGAAACATCACTAAACTAAGAACAGTGACTAATCATTAATCCTGTTGATATTTTACTAGATCCTTTCTTACTTTCACATTTGTGTAGGCCTGCAGTGCATTGGTAAAGTATTCAGACCCTGTCACTTTTTCCACATTACAGCCTTATTCTAAAATTGATTAAATAGTTTTTCCCCCTCATCAATCTACACACAATACCCCAATGACAAAGCAAAAACAGGTTTTTAGAAAATTTTGCAAACGTATACAAAAATAAAATGACAAATACATTCAATCTTGTTTTCTCATGGTTTGAGAGTCCTTTAGTTGCCTTTTGGCAAACTCCAAGCACGCTGTCGTGTGCCTTTTACTGAGGAGTGGCTTTCGTCTGGCCACTCTACCGCAAAGGCCTGATTGGTGGAGTTATCCCATCTCCACAGAGGAACTCTGGAGCTCTGTCAGAGTGACTATGGGTTCTTGGTCATCTCCCTGACCAAGGCCCTTCTCCTCCGATTGCTCAGTTTGGCCGGGCGGCCAGCTCTAGTGAAGAGTTTTTGGTGGTTCCAAACTTCTTCCATTTAACCCTCCGTTGTCCTAGGGTCAAATGACCCGCCACTGTGTTGAACCAACTTATTTAATTTTTATATTTTTTGGATCATTTGTGAGAATAGGCAGTGATACTTTCTTTAAGTCTCACTGCCTCCTTCTCACAAATGATCCCAAAATATAAAATTAAATAATTGGTTCAACACAGTGGCGGGTCATTTTGACCTAGGACAACGGGAGGGTTAAGAATGATGGAGACCACTGTGTTCTTGGGGACCTTCAATGCTGCAAAAATGATAAACACCTGTTTTCGCTTTGTCATGGGGTATTGTGTGTTAAATCCATTTTAGAATAAGGCTGTAACAAAATGTGGAAAAGTGAAGGGGTCTGAATACTTTCTGAATGCACTGTATAAAAGGAGTGCCATCACTCAAAAAGTTAAGTGGGGAGGTTATATATAGGCCTACTATAGTATGGAGACCACCGTAGCTCTGCTGGTACTGTGCTGCTGTCTGTCAGTGGCAGACAAAGTGAATGATATCACCTAGCAGCAGCCTGTGCCTGACATCTGGAATGAGCTGAGATGAGACATGTTGGTAGAACAAAACGTAACTGAAATACACCAAAATGGAACTTGCTGAAGTGGAAGCCAGCCTGAAACCAGGTGGCAGACCTGATCAGACAGAATGAATGTAGGGGATCTCACAGCTGCTGAGCTACATGCCTGCACACTGCATTACGACTAAAGACTGAGATTGGTTTTGCTTGCGCGTTTAAGCACAAGCTGTTGAACTGAAAGCCATTGCGGCCAGACTGCAGGCAAGTGAACACCTAGTGGAAGAACTGGAGAGATAATAGGCAGAATCTCCAGCACACCCAAAACCGATTAGTGAAGGCGCAGGAGGCAAAATGCCTCACACTTCCAGTAAGATGCAAATGTATTTTAATAGTAACTGAACTTTCATGTAGTAGACCATCAGAACAATAGCGGGACAGAAGGCATAAGTTTGTTCCATTTTTGCTTCTCGTCTCTATTGCGCGAGAGCATGGGTTCCTTATACTAACGCCTAATTATTTTCTGTTGTAGTGGAAATACAGCTAGTATGTAATTCTGTCAGATCGTATGACATCTTGTGGCCTTTTTGGGTACCACAGGCATCCAATTATCACTAGCTCTTGCCTTCGGTCCCACTATGTGGAGATATGCTCTGATGGTCAACAGCTCAGCTACTGTTAAATATGTTCATCTGACTGGAAGTGAAACCTATCCGGTTCAAAATAACTTCTGAAAGTAAGGCGTGAACACATGTTGGCAACACTTGCAACCATTAGGCCTGCACTGATCAGAAACGTTTGGTTTTTACACATTGGCTATTGTAATAACCACATCTAAATACAGGCAGTGACGAGTCTAATTCAGAGTCGCTAGCATTGGTTATGAAGCACCCATCTTGGCTGTCTTAGAAACAGCCAAAATGTAGCATCTAGGAATGAATACCAAAATGTTGGAGACCAAAGAATACTTATCCAATGCAGTGGTGCTACAACTGGAAGTAGATTTAGTGTCCATGCGTCTTGAAGCAATCCATCAGGTCAGAGATCATGTAGACAATCGTAACATTCAGTGGATTTCTGCGCTCCTAGTAAGCATAGTTGAACCATCTAGACAAACTATGAGCGCTTACACAATTGTGTAATAAAAGGCATCAAACCATTTACTTGCATCACATCCTTCCAATCACCTTAGCACAATGACCTGCTTGCGAAGAGAAGTTAAACCTGACTGTAGCATGTGAGATTGAATGCGCTTGACCTTATGTTCTTGTGAGATACAATTTAGATGACTAGTGAGAATAAATCCAAGAGGAAGTCAGGACACACCATAGTAAAGTAATATCTATTTTTATTATTTCAAATCAAGTGGACAGCAGCCAGTCCAGAGTCAGGGCATGCATGGCTGCCCATCTTCCAGGAATCCCAGCTGGACTCACGCTAACCCTGAAACAAAAAGTAAAGTTAAGCTAACAGGTCAATGAAACAGAACTTTGAAATGCTCATTTGGGGGTGTAAAAAAACCAAACCTGGTTAACATTCAGGCCGGTGAATTATCAGTGGTTGTAAGTGGTCCAAGGACTGCATTTTGAGTTTGCCCAAGTTTACCTAAAAGATAGTTTAAACATTGAAACTGGTGGATGGACACGTCAAAAGAAATAAAGCATCCCATTCTAGTGCCCTGGGAAAATAAGTAAATTCAACTGGAGTGGTGTGCAAAAAGGGTGTAATACCTGATGGTATTCCCCTTCTCTTCTGGGACTTGCAGCTGGAGTCACAGCAGCTACAGAGGTTACTATGGGAGGGGTCATCAAGGAGCTCCCAACTGAAGAAAAAAGTAGTCAAAACATGAATTTCTCATGGCACTGTTCCCTCCAAATGAGATACTTTTGGCAAGTTCAAGTAGTACCTCCTTCCAGAAAAAGTAGTTTAATTGAATAGGTGTAAACAATATTTTGTACCCATGCCCTTTCACATAGTGGCAGGCCTTCCTGCTGGTGTCAAGGCCACTGGGGTCCCAGGCCAAAAGCTTGCAATGTATATAGACCTGAGAAGAGATTAGGTATATTAGCTCTCATATTTCAGCAGTGCCAAAATGTAAATCACAGATAAGTACACCCACTTCCTCGCCAACGGTGAACTTGAAGGCTTTCAGAGACAGACGGATTTCAGAGGTTTCTCGTCTTGGTTCAAACTTTGAGTTTGAAGTCATGCTATCCACAAGACATCTGATGGCAACAAAAAAATTGACAGTCAGGAATGGTTCACCAAATGAATCCACACCTACTTGGAGCAAAAGCCCTAATAGCATCCAGCTGTATAACCCAGTGGTACATACCCCTTGGTGATGATGGGGTACACTGGGCCTGCTGGCTGCAGCTCTGGCATTGTGGTCGCAACACACTCCTCTAAGAGAAGCAGCAAAGGCTGATGGTCCTTCTGCTCCACTGCTGCCAAGATATGGATGGAGGAGCCAAGGGGGTATTCCCTAGACAGATGTGGTCCAGAGAAGTCATCTGCAGGATACACATATGGGCAGTCTTAAATCTGTAGGAGTTCAATTGTTTACTTCAAGGTTAGAAGTAGTCTCAAACCTACCCGTCATAAGTCCCATGTGGTAGACCAGATCTCCTTGACCATATGTATGAAACAGTACTACATCAAATATGGGAGGCGCCCAGTCTGCGGGCCTACAGTACAGACAAAAGGAAATAATTTAGACATGTAGCCGAGGGTCAATGTTCAGGGTTGGACTGGTTCTTGTCCAGCATTAGCACATGATGCAACAGAAAGGGTATTATTTAGGGGGTATAAAACAGCCACATCTCACCTTTCATAGGCACAAACCACTGGGTAAGACTGAAAGACAGACTTCAGGTGAGCTTTGGGAGCAGACATAGAGGTCAGCTCATTCATGTACATCAGTGTGTCCCCAGTCACCTGTAGTGAGAAAGGAGGGGGTTCAACAACCCTACATCTGACAACCAAATACACATCAGTACAACCTTTGCTAAAGCCTACCATTCTCCTGAAGTTACAGTCACTGAGTTCCACTTGGAACATGGCCTCCCCAGCAGAAACACTGGAGGGATAACAGTCTCCCAGACGGAGGAGTGAGGCATCCATTTGTGACCTGGCTGCCCTCCATCTCAAGGTCACTGAATCAGGGCCACAGTCTACCTCCATATCTGCCAGGAGATTAAAATTAAAATTTAAAAAAAAGTATAAAATACAAAAGAACATCTTCTGCTGCTTTGCCATCAAAGTTTTTGTGCTAGTACTGGTCACGTTCCAAACACAATAGGCCTACATGAAAGACAGTGATAATACAAGTTACCTTCTTGTGCCACATTGGCAGCAACAGCCATGCATAGGAGAACCGCACTGTGCCAAAAGGAAGCCATCATGATTGAATACCAATGTTCAGTTGGTGATGCCTATAAAACCTGTCAGCAAGCAATCAAGTTAACCACTGCCATACGTGTGTTTTCCTATGTTAACAACCTCCAGCTGCAGGCGATCAATCACTGATCTGGAAATCATTAGTATGAACTCATTCCAGTCTTGCAATTAATTATCAGATACTTATGCTGCGTTCGTAACCAAGTGGGAGGTGGGAATTTACCAGTTGTGAAGTCGTAAATACTAGTTGGATGTATTCACGTGCTTTAAACTCGTTAAGAAATGCCGATTGGCTAATAGCCAACAAGCTGTGTAAAGAATAAACTAAAAGTACAGCTACCACGCTTGTAAACAAACTATAGTGTTCAAAAACCATATTAATAGATTGCTTTTTATAAATAATGTTTTGTTGTTGCATTTAACTGAAGAAAAGGCCCGTCATCAAGGTAATTTTCTTAGTAGATGACATCAGAGGTCAGCAAGTGGGAGCTCAGGATGATAGACAAGTTTCCCACTAGTAATTACCAGTTGTAGTGCCGTTCAAGTGGATTTTTCCCAGTCATATATGGTAGATTTCCACTTGGTTAGGAACACAGCATTACGTCACCATCCCCTGCTCAGACATTACATGCATCAACCAATGAGTGCGTCAGGCACCAAATTGCTATAACATGTGGTTAGCTGATACTTAAAATACACTGCTCAAAAACATAAAGGGAACACTTAAACAACACAATGTAACTCCAAGTCAATCACACTTCTGTGAAATCAAACTGTCCACTTAGGAAGCAACACTGATTGACAATACATTTCACATGCTGTTGTGCAAATGGAATAGACAACAGGTGGAAATTATAGGCAATTAGCAAGACACCCCCCAATAAAGGACTGGTTTTGCAGGTGGTGACCACAGACCACTTCTCAGTTCCTATGCTTCCTGGCTGATGTTTTGGTCACTTTTGAATGCTGGCGGTGCTTTCACTCTAGTGGTAGCATGAGACGGAGTCTACAACCCACACAAGTGGCTCAGGTAGTGCAGCTCATCCAGGATGGCACATCAATGCGAGCTGTGGCAAGAAGGTTTGCTGTGTCTGTCAGCGTAGTGTCCAGAGCATGGAGGCGCTACCAGGAGACAGGCCAGTACATCAGGAGACGTGGAGGAGGCCGTAGGAGGGCAACAACCGAGCAGCAGGACCGCTACCTCCGCCTTTGTGCAAGGAGGAGCAGGAGGAGCACTGCCAGAGCCCTGGAAAATGACCTCCAGCAGGCCACAAATGTGCATGTGTCTGCTCAAACGGTCAGAAACAGACTCCATGAGGGCGCGACGTCCACAGGTGGGGGTTGTGCTTACAGCCCAACACCGTGCAGGACGTTTGGCATTTGCCAGAGAACACCAAGATTGGCAAATTCGCCACTGGCGCCCTGTGCTCTTCACAGGTGAAAGCAGGTTCACACTGAGCACGTGACAGAGTCTGGAGACGCCGTGGAGAACGTTCTGCTGCCTGCAACATCCTCCAGCATGACCGGTTTGGCGGTGGGTCAGTCATGGTGTGGGGTGGCATTTCTTTGGGGGGCCGCACAGCCCTCCATGTGCTCGCCAGAGGTAGCCTGACTGCCATTAGGTACCGAGATGAGATCCTCAGACCCCTTGTGAGACCATATGCTGGTGCGGTTGGCCCTGGGTTCCTCCTAATGCAAGACAATGCTAGACCTCATGTGGCTGGAGTGTGTCAGCAGTTCCTGCAAGAGGAAGGCATTGATGCTATGGACTGGCCCGCCTGTTCCCCAGACCTGAATCCAATTGAGCACATCTGGGACATCATGTCTCGTTCCATCCACCAACGCCACGTTGCACCACAGACTGTCCAGGAGTTGGCGGATGCTTTAGTCCAGGTCTGGGAGGAGATCCCTCAGGAGACCATCCGCCACCTCATCAGGAGCATTCCCAGGCGTTGTAGGGAGGTCATACAGGCACGTGGAGGCCACACACACTACTGAGCCTCATTTTGACTTGTTTTAAGGACATTACATCAAAGTTGGTTCAGCCTGTAGTGTGGTTTTCCACTTTAATTTTGAGGGTGACTCCAAATCCAGACCTCCATGGGTTGATAAATTTGATTTCCATTGATAATTTTTGTGTGATTTTTGTCAGCACATTCAACTATGTAAAGAAAAAAGTATTTAATTAGATTATTTCATTCAGATCTAGGATGTGTTGTTTAAGTGTTCCCTTTATTTTTTTGAGCAGTGTACTTATCCAGGCTTTGTAAAATCTGACATGCATCACCAAAGCCTGGTCAGAGGAATACACCGTTAATTTTGAGCCAATAAAAGTGATTGCGGTTTCTACGGCTGCGTTTACACAAGCGTCCCAATTCTGATATTTGCTCAATTATTGGCAAAAGAGCTGATCCGATTGGTCAAAAGACCAGAATTGGGCTGCCTACAACTGTAGAAATGGCAGATATAGCATACATTTTCTGAAGATCGAAATTTTTATCCGTTCGACATGGGTCGATTTTTATTTTGTCAAACTTTCTTGCATGATGGAAACTGTTTTTCGAATAAACGATTGCCAAATAATTTTGAAGGTAGAATGTCTTCACGTAACTATAAAGTTCCACTCCACATTTAATTGTAAATGCCTACTTGCAGAATAATTTCTCAACTATAAAAATGTTTTCTTTGCCGGACAAGGATTGTCCAGACTTCGCCTTGCTTTTCTGGTTGGCTGGATGCAAGTTTCACCAGCCAGTTATTTCAGATCTACAGAAGCGCTATTATAATATGGCATGAGTCAATTATTGCATTCTGTCCATGCTGGCTTTCGCGGCCTACCTGAGACATGAAATAGGTGATAGTGCATACAGGCTGTCGCAAATTTATGAATGCGCATTTTTCTTAAATGGGTAAGAAACACTTCAACCACATTTTTGACACTAGGTTTTAGCGATTTTGTTGTGACGTTATATACACGACACAATATTTAAGTGAAAATGCACGGTAGCAGGCAATTCAATTGTCGGGTCAATTTTTGCCAACTTTCTAAATGTCGACAAAAAAACATCACTGGACAAGTAATGGCATGGAAGGAAGAAAGCAATACTGCATTTCCAGAGTATTTGAGCAGGTACAGAAAGAGTAAAAGGGGACTTCGAGTATTTGATGTAAGCCTATTTGGAATTGGAACTTCCCCATTTCTTATTAAAATTTGTGTTGCAAATTCAACATCAAATCAACTGGGATATAGGGTACTATCACAGGCACTTGTCATCTCCCGTCTGGATTACTGCAACTCGCTGTTGGCTGGCTCCTGCCTGTGCCATTAAACCCCTACACTATCCGAATCAGCAGCCCTTGGTGTTCAACTCCAAGTTTCACGCACCCGCTCTCCACCTCCACTGGCTTCCAGTTTAAGCCGCATCTGTTACAAGACAGGTGCTGCCTATGCTGTGATGGAAGACTCCCTACCTTCAGCTCTGATCGTCCCTAAACCAAAAGGGGCATGCGTCATCCCCCTGGGGCTGATGGCTCCCTTCCTCTGAGATATTCCCCCTCAGTCCAGTCAAAACGTTCTCTGCTTGGCACCCAATGGTGAAAGCTCCCTCACGACGCCAGTATACGAGTCACTACCACTCCGAAATTGAACCACCTCTAATCCCACTGGCTATAGGGTGAATGCACCAATTTGTAAGTCGCTCTGGATAAGAGCGTCTGCTAAATGACGTAAATGTAAAATGGGGCGAGACGCCCCCTGGGGTAAGATGTGCCCTCCCTGTAATTCCCACAAAAAACACAGTCACAATAAAAAGTTCCTCTGGCTGCCACTAGTCTTGAACTACAAATCCTGTGTCAACATTTTAGAAGTCACTCCATCAAAACAGAGTTAGTGATCTAATTGTCATTTAGTAAAAATTGTAAATATAATCCAATGATCAACTGCAGCCATGTCTGTATTGTTACCTAAGCAAGGCCATCATCCACCTACAATCTCTAAACGTTGCTTGTGTGTAAATTTGATCTTGGGGTCTTAACCCCGTCGGCCTACTGCTGAAAAATTATAGCCCCCCCAAAATAAATCAGATTCACTTACGACAATCTTTTGAATAGCTTTACCATTGCATGAACACCTGTTGTGACTATCAATATTAGCAAACTATTTATGCCAAGAGAAGAAAGCGTTACAGTTCAAGTGTAAACAGGACACTGGGTAGTCCAGAACATGAAGTAGTCACAAAACACTGAGCGCTCACATGCCATAACTTACATTGTTCATCATAAGAGACATGGTGATACAGTAAGAATCAAACAGCTTCTTACAACCAGATGGTCACCTCTTGGCTAGTTTGTGTGGATACCTGCGCTGCACTCCTGGATTTACGGTACAGCTCATCAGGAGCATAGCATTTTTGACAACCACCAGAGACAAAAACCATTGTGAAGTACTCCATTTATTGAAAAACGCTGAAGTCAAAGGACTTCATATCCATATGGGGGTTGTAGTTTCTACCACTTCTCCAAATGTACTGGAAAGGGCTGCACCCTTCCGGCCTCCTACAACAGGCAGATGGCAGTGAGACAGAAACCCCTGTAACAGGTTGAAGAATTGTTAGTCACATGCAGCTCATTGCCATTGGGGATGTTACAGTAAAATGCCTCCCAATAACCAGAACACACCTGACAAGCGAAGTGTTCCAGACCATTACACCATCCAGTCAACTGTGGATACAGAACACAATGAGGACAGATTAGTAGGTTACAGGTTCAAGTTAATTTGGCATCAAAGCTGATACACTTTGCTTTTAAATTGTAAACTATAGTCTTGAAGGCCAAAAAAATAAAAATCACCAACCTTGGTCTACAGTAGGATACTTTATGGATTCACTGGGGATCTGGGTTTCAGAGTGTCCCACTATTGTGAGCGGTCCAAGGACAGCGTTTTGAACCAAGCCCTGGGGTTCTGAAGAGAAAAGTTACTTCAAGCTGCATTCCCATAAGAAACTCAAGAATGATCAGCTCAAATTAATATGGAACTTGACAGTTTATTCAGGCTTGAAATGAAGTGCCTCAAAATACCTGAATGCAAGCCCCTCTTCAACCGAGGCTTGCAACTGGATTCACAGCACTTGCAGAGGACACTTTGAGACGGGTCATCCAGCAGCTCCCATCTACGAATAAAAAGAACAAGGTTACAGAGCTGTTGCACTGGCACTACCGTCATTATGGCCCAATGTTAAAGAATGTGACCAATAAACTGTAATACTAACCCTCCAGTCTCTTTAATGTAGTGGCAAGCCTTCTTTTCTTTATCAAGAACCTCAGGGTCCCATGCAACAAGCTTGCAATGGATATATACCTGGGGTGAAGTAAGAGAACAGTCAAGACCTACAGTATGAACAACCCAGTCATACCGAGAACTTGTGGGCCACTCACTTCCTCGCCGAGGGCAAACTTGAAGGACTGCAGGTAAAGCAGGATAGCAGACGAGTGGTACCTAGGCAGGAACCTGGAGTTCCCAGTCTTCCCATCTGCAAGGCAACTGAAAATGCATTGTGCAATGAGCAGACAAACAGAACTTCAATCCAGCAAATAATCACACCAGACAAGCCAACATTCTCAATATGTTGTTGGGATGAATCTGTCCCCTACATCAGCGTTTTCCCAACTCAGTCGCCCCTCCCTCCCCTGGGTGCAAGTTTTGGTTTTTGCCCTAGCACTACACAGCAGCTTAAAATAAGCAACACTTGATGAGTTGGTTATTTGAGTCAGCTGTGTAGTGCTAGGCGGTCAAAAACCGAAACATGCACATTACCAGGTCTGGTACATACCCCTTGTTGGTGATTATTGGGTACACCAGACTCTCAGACTGCAGTTCTGGTGTAGTGGCCGCCACACACTCCTCCATGAGCAGCAGCAAGGGCTGGTGGTCCTTCTGGTCCACTGCTGCCCAGATGGGGATGAAAGAGCCCAGGGGGAACAGGCTGGTCTTGGCCAGACCAGTAAGGTCTTCTACATGCAACAGAGAGGGGGTGCAATACATGTGTACCATACATCCACAGGTTTCAACTCACGTCAGGCAGTGTCCTCTGCTAGGCATTTATTTACCAGGTAAGTTGATTGAACATATTCTCTAACAATGATATTGTAGGAGTCACTCACCATTGAGGAGTGCCATGTGGAAAACCAATCCTCCATGACCCTCAGCACTACCAGAGGCAGGGATAAGGAATTGGGGAATCCATCCCTCAGGTCTACATACAGGGGGAATGTATGGTTTAATCATTACAGTTAAGGTGACAAAGGCTTAGGAAGATTTGATTCCAACACCATTGCTACGCTGCACCCAATAGAGCCCTCAACTCAGTTCCACTACATTTTATTATTGTGCCCCTCTAGTCAGGGACTGATTTAGACCTGGGACACCAGGTGTATGCAATTAATGATCAAGTAGAACAGAACCAGCAGGCGCCAGACCACTTAGGGTATGAGTTGAGTACCCCTGGCATAGATGGTTACCTTGTGTAAACACACTTAATGTGGTGACTAATAGCAGCAGGTTTGGGCTTTCGGTCAGGTCTGTAAGTCAGGTTGGTTGAGTAGATGTGTTTTTTGCCAGTCACCTGGGGAATGGAAGGAGACTCATTAGTCTTCGCAGGATCCAAAATAGTATACATTGGGTCAAGAGTTAGACATTACCCGTTTCTTGATTGCACAGCCATTGAGGTTGTAGTGGAATGTCGCTTCCCCTTCTCCAGTGGGAAGAACAGAAAATTTGGATGGAACGCAGTGTCCAAGGAAGAGACGGGCAGCATTCTCAACCAACTCTGGACTGACCTTCCATGTCACTTTAATGGAGCGTTTCTCACAATCCACACTAAAATCTAAAAATTTAATTTGACAATATCATCACTCCCATCTCAATAGCCAACATCAACACAACTTGGTTAGTCTGTTAGGTTGTCAGCATGAGATAAGTAGCCAATTGAAGTTTACATGGTCTCAGCGCTATATAATATTATAATGTGTTCATTATTAGACTTACCGTCGTTGGCAGCCCTTGCTGCTACAACAGCCAAAACGATTGCACATTGCCACAGGAGAGACATGACTGAATGATCTAGGAGTGGCTGAAACTAGAAATATTTATGGACCAATTGATTCTAATTATCTTAATGCTGAACATCTGTGAGAGTTCAAGAAGTGATAATTATAGACCTAAAAACTTAACAACATCATCAGTTTTTGTATTTCTTGGTCAAAAAACATCCTTGAATTTTTACGGTTTTAAAAGTTACATTTGTAATAGTCACATCTTTTCCCCAGAAAGTAATTATTTGCGAAGCGGAACCAATGTCTCACAAAACACGATGGACGGACGGAATAGTGACTTACACAGGAAGTAAAGTTGAATCAAATGGTTGAAAAATCTTTGGTTTGCTCAATTTGGCAACAATACCACACTAAATGTGGATGAGTTTTTTTTTTTATCGATTTAAAACGTATTTTATGCGACAGTCAAAATGCTGATCAAGGTTAAGGTAAGACCAGCCATTTAATCGGTGGCCAAGCCCGCTAGTTTACAGACTGAATGATCATCTCATCGCCGATCTAGCTATCTGCCGTAGCTAAATATATTAATTGATTTGAAAAACGCTATATAGTGGACATCGCTGCAGGCCATTGGCATTGAAACAGTCATCCCCGTATAGAATGTAGAGTTCGCTAACGTGAACTATACGGAACAAAAAATATAAACGCCACATGCAATAATTAACGATTTTTATGAGTTACAGTTCATATAAGGAAATCAGTCAATTTATTTAATTTCATTAGGCCCCAATCTATGGATTCACATGACTGGGCAGGGGCGTAGCCATGGGTGGACATAGGCAGGCCCACCCACTGGGGAACCATGTCCATCCACTTGGGAGCCAGGCCCAGCCAATCAGAATGAGTTTTCCCCCACAAAAGGGCTTTATTACAGACAGAAATACTCCTCAGTTTCATCAGCTGTCATGGTGGCTGGTTTCAGACGATCCCTCAGGTGAAGAAGCCGGATGTGGAGGTCCTGGGCTGGCGTGGTTACACGTGGTCTGCGGTTGTGAGGCCGGTTGGACATACTAACAAATTCTCTAAAACGACAGCTCTGGTGGACATTCCTGCAGTCAGCATGGCAATTGCGCGCTCCCTAAAAACTTGACACATCTGTGGCATTGTGTTGTGTGACAAAACTGTACATTTTAGAGCTACATTTTATTGTCCACAGCACAAGGTGTCAAGTGGATGGATTGTCTTGGAAAAGGAGAAATGCTCACTAACGGATGTAAACAGATTTGTGCAAGTAATTTGAGAGAAATAAGCTTTTTGTGCATATGGAACATTTCGGGGATCTGTTATATCAGCTCATAAAACATGAGACCAACAATTTACATGTTGCGTTTTATATATTTTTGTTCAGTATAACTAATTAACGTTAGGTAGCTAACTAACTATATGCTAGCTAGGTGTTACTACCTAACTAAATTAAATTATATGGCCATCGTCCTATGGTTGAGCTGCTTTGCTCACCCCAGTCTACATCAAAATCTAGACAGGATACAAGGCCTCACTCAGTACAATAAACAGGTGCTGTAGAACCATAGCCATTATCCACTAACATAGACCTAACCTTATAAGATGTTGCTGTTTATTGCAATATGGTATTTTATGCTCTAAAATGAACAATTATTTTACTGTTACAGACTCTCACTGGCAAAGAAATAGAGATCGACATTGAGCCCACAGACAAGGTATGAAACATCTACATTACTCTGAAGGTTGATATTAATCTCATGCGTTTGCTTTCCATGTGTAATATTTTGATTACTCATGTCAGCATACATTGCTGGGGAGTGGGGAGTCATGTCTAGATGTTCTATACCATTTGGCCATCAGATTTGCCACCAATGCTCCTTATAGGACACATCACTGCACTCTATACTCCTCTGTAAACTGGTCATCTCTGTATACCTGTCGCAAGACCCACTGGTTGATGCTTATTTATAAAACCCTCTTAGGCCTCACTCCCCCCTATCTGAGATACCTACTGCAGCCCTCATCCTCCACATACAACACCCATTCTGCCAGTCACATTCTGTTAAAGGTCCCCAAAACACACACATCCCTGTGTCGCTCCTCTTTTCAGTTCACTGCAGCTAGTGACTGGAACGAGCTGCAAAAAACACTCAAACTGGACAGATTTATCTCCATCTCTTCATTCAAAGACACTCTTACTGACAGTTGTGGCTGCTTCGCGTGATGTATTGTTGTCTCTACCTTCTTGCCCTTTGTGCTATTGTCTGTGCCCAATAATGTTTGTACCATGTTGTGCTGCTGCCATGTTGTGTTGCTACCATGTTGTTGTTATGTCATGTTGCTACCATGCTGTGTTGTTGTCTTAGGTCTCTCTTTATGTAGTGTTGTGGTGTCTCTCTTGTCGTGATGTGTGTTTTGGCCTATATTTCGTAATTGTTTTATCCCCCGTCCCCGCAGGAGGCCTTTTGCCTTTTGGTAGGCCGTCATTGTAAATAAGAATTTGTTCTTAACTGACTTGCCTAGTTAAATAAAGGTTACATAAAAATAAAATAAATAAATATCCCAGTAATGACATTTAGCTTATGTGCTCTCTTGTACACATATGAAGGTGGAGAGAATTAAAGAAAGAGGGGATTCCACCTCAACAAAGACTAATCTACAGTGGAAAACAGATGTAAGTAATCAACCCTTCCGTCACAATCTTGTCATGAAACATCTGCTCCATTTAATCAAGTGGCGGCATTACATCTTGGATGTAACACTTGTTTTATCTGCTCCCATCCCTCTCAGGAACGATGAGAAGACCGCTGCAGACTACAAGATCCAGGGAGGCTCAGTTCTGCATCTGGTCCTAGCGCTAAGAGGAGGGCTAGTCTGCCACTGTCCCAGCATATACCTCATCTTCTAGTGGGCAGTGGGGCCGGCCTTGTGCCAACCCACAAGTTTCTGTCATCGTCACTCACACCATGTTGCAACACAGAGCAGCAAATTGCCAGAATGGTGTGACACTAAAATCCTTATGTCTCCTGGGCCTAAGCAAACAAAGGACTTTCTGCTATGTAATTCTTCTGTGTAGATTGTTTTTGTAACCACCTCTGCTTTATGTTCCAACAGTGTAAGTGGGACACACAGTGCGAGAGTGAGTTTGGACACTGGTATTTTGCTTGTGATTAAAAGATCAAGTTGACTGTTTTTGTTTTGAAGTACGTGGCTGTATGGCTGCTATTGTATGAGTGTGTGATTTAGCAGTGCATTGTAAAACTACTTTCCATATATAGGCAGTTATAGGAATTCTAAACTCATTGAGGTTTGATAACCTTTAATTGGAAATAACACATGCAAATTCGCCACTGGCGCCCTGTGCTCTTCACAGATGAAAGCAGGTTCACACTGAGCACATGTGACAGAGTCTGGAGACGCCGTGGAGAACGTTCTGCTGCCTGCAACATCCTCCAGCATGACTGGTTTGGCGGTGGGTCAGTCATGGTGTGGGGTGGCATTTCTTTGGGGGGCCGCACAGCCCTCCATGTGCTCGCCAGAGGTAGCCTGACTGCCATTAGGTACCGAGATGAGATCCTCAGACCCCTTGTGAGACCATTTGCTGGTGCGGTTGGCCCTGAGTTCCTCCTAATGCAAGACAATGCTAGACCTCATGTGGCTGGAGTGTGTCAGCAGTTCCTGCAAGAGGAAGGCATTGATGCTATGGACTGGCCCGCCTGTTCCCCAGACCTGAATCCAATTGAGCACATCTGGGACATCATGTCTCGCTCCATCCACCAACGCCACGTTGCACCACAGACTGTCCAGGAGTTGGCGGATGCTTTAGTCCAGGTCTGGGAGGAGATCCCTCAGGAGACCATCCGCCACCTCATCAGGAGCATTCCCAGGCGTTGTAGGGAGGTCATACAGGCACGTGGAGGCCACACACTACTGAGCCTCATTTTGACTTGTTTTAAGGACATTACATCAAAGTTGGATCAGCCTGTAGTGTGGTTTTCCACTTTAATTTTGAGGGTGACTCCAAATCCAGACCTCCATGGGTTGATAAATTTGATTTCCATTGATAATTTTTGTGTGATTTTGTTGTCAGCGATTTCAACTATGTAAAGAAAAAAGTATTTAATAAGATTATTTCATTCATTCAGATCTAGGATGTGTTGTTTAAGTGTTCCCTTTATTTTTTTGAGCAGTGTACTTATCCAGGCTTTGTAAAATCTGGCATGCATCACCAAAGCCTGGTCAGAGGAATACACCGTTAATCTTGAGCCAATAAAAGTGATTGCGGTTTCTACGGCTGCGTTTACACAAGCGTCCCAATTCTGATATTTGCTCAATTATTGGCAAAAGAGCTGATCTGATTGGTCAAAAGACCAGAATTGGGCTGCCTACAACTGTAGAAATGGCAGATATAGCATACATTTTCTGTTGATCGAAATTTTTATCCGTTCGACATGGGTCGATTTTTATTTTGTCAAACTTTCTTGCATGATGGAAACTGTTTTTCGAATAAACGATTGCCAAATAATTTTGAAGGTAGAATGTCTTCACGTAACTATAAAGTTCCACTCCACATTTAATTATAAATGCCTACTTGCAAAATAATTTCTCAACTATAAAAATGTTTTCTTTGCCGGACAAGGATTGTCCAGACTTCGCCTTGCTTTTCTGGTTGGCTGGATGCAAGTTTCACCAGCCAGTTATTTCAGATCTACAGAAGCGCTATTATAATATGGCATGAGTCAATTATTGCATTCTGTCCATGCTGGCTTTCGCGGCCTACCTGAGACATGAAATAGGTGATAGTGCATACAGGCTGTCGCAAATTTATGAATGCGCATTTTTCTTAAATGGGTAAGAAACACTTCAACCACATTTTTGACACTAGGTTTTAGCGATTTTGTTGTGACGTTATACACACGACACAATATTTAAGTGAAAATGCACGGTAGCAGGCAATTCAATTGTCGGGTCAATTTTTGCCAACTTTCTAAATGTCGACAAAAAAACATCACTGGACAAGTAATGGCATGGA